TTTAATTTATTTATAATTTTTTCTTTTTTAATTCCTTTCTAATTTCTCTGCGTAATTATAACATCGTAGTTACGCACTAATATCTCTTCTTTTTTTTAGTTTAAATTTACTTTTATTGGAGTGGGGGAGGGGGGCGGGGCATGATTTTTATTTATTTTTCCTACAATTAAAAGTTCTCTCCAAATATTTCCATTTAATTCAATATTTCTTTATACATGTACATAAGCTGATAGCTTAAAGTATACATTTTACACACGTACATACATATACATAAATTAGATACCCACCACCACGGAATCCTTATCATTACAATTAGAAACTATGCATAGATCTTAGTTCGCTATGAGTGTCTCCCGACTCTCTTTGACGTCGCGGGTAGGAAGGCCGTTTAAATATATACTACCGTGTTGAATGACGGATGCCAAGTTTGGATCTCTACGCAAGTTCTAAATAACTAATAATAGTCTCGAGTTGATTAAGAAAATTTCAAATTTTTTTAAAGGCTTACAACTGCCGTATGTACATTGCCACTTTTCTAAAAAAAAAAAAAACGCGTAAGACAGATAAGGCCACGAAAACGGCTATTGACCTCGTAGGGCTTGTAATGTAATTCGTGGAATTTTGAATTCTATTCGTCGTAGCACATAGAGATCATTTGAATATTATGTCATATCCGTACTCTTACTTACTAAATGTTCATAGACATTGATCGAATGCCAGCGTTTCTTATATCCAACGTAAGCGTGGTACCGCTTATACGAACGAACAGCCAATGCGTTCATTTGGATTGTCAAATGCATCTACGTTAAAATATTTGCATGAATAGCGATGAGCGTAAATGAAAATGGGATAAATAAAAATAGCAGGAGAATAAACAATTTTTGGAAAGAGTTAACAAAGATTTTAAAATTATGCTTGGTACAAGCGAATATAGCTTTCTTACTTACCCCGTATTTACGGTAAAAAAAAAAAAAAAAAAAAAACAAATTTAAAAAGCTCTCTCAAATGTTCGCAATCTTTAGAATATATACTTAAGAGTTTTTATAGTATCATCCATATACATGTATGCATATATATATATATCGTGTACACATCTACATATATGTATATGTATCAATATTTTATACTGAAGTTAATCTAAAATTGTGACTTATTAATATGCTCAAAAATGCGTTGAAAAATGTAATTAAATTAACCCTAAGACTGGCCAGATGGAGCGGTCCATACGCTTCTAATTTACGAGATAATCATGATTACATTTCACGATAGAAATAGCATTGTAGTTGTAATTACTTTTGGAAGGATACCGCGTATCCTGCAATAAAATGTCGTACATATTTATATATATATATATATATATGTCATTCAATGTCAGGCTTTTCCTGACGTTTTCGAAAATTTATGCAAATTTTTCCTTAATTGTGCAAAAAATGTAATATTATTACAAATTCCCTTTGGCAACATTTCCGAAATTGTTGCTTGGGCTTTTGTTCTTAATTCGGCAATGATACAACGAAGACCATGGAATACTATGCCCGTAATCGCTGAATCTTAACAGCATGCTTGTTATTAACATGAAGTTACTGTACGAAGATATGACTTTAGGGCGAAGTGGTAGAGTCATTGTTGTACTAGAAGTTTGAGTTAAAACCAAGTAGTCTTGCACAAGTTCATAAGTTAACTTGTTGGTGAAAAGCTATGAAAATATATGACATGATAAGAGATATTGTAAAAGTAATTTTTCTTGCCAAGTTCTCCTCCTATTCGCCACTGTACGATTAATCTGTGATGACGAGTTTCACATTAAGTAGAAATATTAATTTCATATTCAAGTTCTATGCAGTTGCTATGAAATTTGAGATAAGAAATGAAAATTTTGTAAGTTTTTTTTATTTTTTTTTTATTTTTATTGTTTGGTTTATATCTAAAGAACATATTTGAAAATGAACATAAGTCCAGTCATAAGTTAGTCTAATCCTTAGCAATACTAAAGTAAAGCTAAACTAAAAAGAAAGAAAATAAACGAATTTTAGTAAATAGTTTTACCATTAGCTTACAATATATATTTGATACAAATTAACTATCGGTTCTAAAGTTCTATTCCAATCGACACCTCCAGCCGTTGACTGTCACACATAACAATGTAGTCTTACACGGGAATGATTAATTAGCTAAGATTCATCTGCTTTTTCATCTGTTTTTATGCGTTTTGGTTGCTCGTTTTTTTTTCTTTATTAATATGTCACTCATACGCCCCATCCTATTCATCTGCCTGATAGGTTAGCAAACAAAGCAAACAAACGCCATACAGTGCGTTTGGGCAGCTAAAGTAAATAAGTAAATAAATGTATCGGATCTTGTCTTTCGGTGGTGGTGGGTATTCAAAAATTGGTGAGGATTAGACCCTAAAGCAAATACACTCAGCTCTGTATAATTTTTTGTGCCGATTGTATCTTGTAGTTAATTTGTGTTCTTTTTTTTTTTTTTTTTTTTTTATTTTTTGTATTATTGTTTGTTTTTTTTGGTTTTATTTTATTTTATTTATTTATTTTTTTTTTATGTTTGTGGTAATTGAGAGATATTCTTGCGTGTTGCTGAAGGGATAGAATAGTCATTGAATTTAGCTACATACACACATAGGCTTTAATAATCGCTATATACATATATGTATATATTAAATTTATTTTTTAGATTTTGCTTGAGTTGTTTTAATTACATATTTGAATCACTTCTAATGCTTTATTTATTTATTTTTTTTTTTTTTGTATTTTTTCAAATATTAATTTATTAAAAAATTTCCCTTCAATTTCATGTAATCATTATTAGTATTTTAAGAGAAATGAGTTCAAAAAATGTTCAATTTGTTCTTTTTTTTTCCTTTCTTTTTTTTTTTTTTTTTTTTGTATGTTTAGTAAGGTTGACTTTAATTCATTTTATGCATTTTTTTTTTATTTATCTTTTTTGTTTTTTTACAAAAATTGGTCCTTTCGTATAATGTGAAAAGAAATTAAAAAGAAATGACGTTAATATAATACATTCATCTAAACCTATCGTTTGTACTTATTTCGTTAATGAAGAAGACTTAAGAAAAAAACGGAAGAGAAATTATTGAAAATAAAATAAAACGAATATCAGAAGAGAGCCCCGAGCCGTGTAACGTTCATAAACGAAATCATAGGCAACTTATCTAAGCAAAAAGTTTGGACGAAGCCAGGATTACTTCCAGAGAGAGAGGCAAATATCTTATGCACCATTTCAATTAGTGCAAAGTAAAATAAAAAAAAAAAAAAATTGCTAAAAAAAAACAAGAAAAAAAAAAATGCTATTGATATGATAAAATGAATCTCCGAACACTTTCTCAATCACATATTGGAAATATTTATGCCGTTAGCTAAGAATATTTGCAACAAGTTTCAATTCAATTCTATGTTAACTTTTTCCTAGTGTAAGCTTTGTGCAACCTCCAGTTGGACAGACATAGTCGATCATATTTTACATCGCTCAAAAATACTTTACAGCATTTCTCGTGCATACCTCTGGGATTTGAAATCGCGTCAGAACCCATTCGAATTTTCGATATCTGCATTATAAGTGAATAAGAAAATGTAAACTGATAGATAGATACTATGTGTGCGTTGAACTGTCAAATGATTTCGGGACTTTTTGTTTGTCCTACCACTATTTAAAATGTTTTATCTTTAAAATGTTGTTGTTTTCTTTGTTATTGTATCCATTTTTAAAATGTTTTCGAATGTTTTCACATTTGATCATTTGTTATTCTTTATAAAGATGCGATTTCTTATTTAATTTATTTTAATTTTTTTTTTTTTTTTTATTTTGACCACTCAAAGACTGCAAATTGCGGATGGACGTATACGCGTCCAAATC